TCTCAGCCTTTTTTTTTTTTTTTTTTTTTTTTTGAGGGAGGGTAGCCCAGGGTGGCCTCAAACTCACTCTGTAGCCAAGTTTGGCCTTGCACTACTGATCCTCCTGTGTTTGCTTCCCATGTGGTGGGACTATAGACAAATGCCCCCATGCCCAGGTTAGGCACCCTTCAACTACCCAGGGCTCCCATAAGGCCACTTCCTCCTCCTTCTTCTTTTTCCTTTCTCTCTCTCTCTCTCTCTCTCTTTCTTTCTTTCTTTCTTTCTTTCTTTCTTTCTTTTATGTTTGTTTGTTTGTTTGTTTGTTTTTCAAGACAGAGTTTCACTGTGAAGCCCTGGCTGTCCTGGAACTTCCTCCGTAAACCAGGCTGGCCTCAAACTCAGAACTCAGAGATCCCCCTGCCTCTGCCTCTGCCTCCCAAGTGCTGGGGTTAAAGACATACATGTGCCACCACCTCCTGGCTCCATCAGGCCTCCTCAACACAGCTATTTGTTTTTGTTTTTGAGGCAGTATCTCCCCTCAAGAGACAGAACTCACTACAAAGCCCAGGACTGACTGTAGTTTTGTGTGATCCTGCCTCCCGAGTACTGGGGTTACACACATGGGGGACCCAGCCCAGCCTTCCAAGCCTGCTCCTCCACAGCTCACAACCTCACTTCCCAGGAGGCAAAAACAGCTGTGTCCCAGTCCCACCCTAAGCCTAGAACAAGTCAAGGCCAACCCCACCCCAGGCAGTCTCCTGGGCCTCCCCTCACCCAGTATCCACCCCAGGCAGTCTCCTGGGCCTCCCCTCACCCAGTATCCACCCCAGGCAGTCTCCTGGGCCTCCCCTCACCCAGTATCCACCCCAGGCAGTCTCCTGGGCCTCCCCTCACCCAGTCTCTGCAGTTTGTCTGCGCAGTTCTCAGCCACCTCTCGAAGCTCTTGGTACTTGATGGCCAGGGCAGTCCGGCCCATCTCCAGGCGGGGCCGCAAGGCCAGGTTCTCTTTGGCCAGCGCGTAGTTAGAGGCCAAGCAGGCATCCCTCTCCAGCTGCAGACCCTGGAACTGCCAGTGAAGGAGAGCTAAGAGGCCTGGGCTCAAGCTGCCCAGGGTCACCGGGAGTCCACTGTAGCACAACACCCACCACAGGCCTAGCCAAAGGCACCTGGGAGTCCACAGCCTGCAGAGATGCCGGGACCAACAGGTGGAGGGACCTAGGTTGGCCTGTTCCAGGCTTTGCCTGGTGTCCTCTCTTTGGGCCCCGGTTTCTTCTACAATTAAAAACAAAAACAAAACAAAAACCACCTCTCTTACCGGGTTGTTGTGAGACCTAAGTGAACCGAACTATGAAGGCCTCTACAAATGTTAGTTAATTTTTAATTTTTCAATTAATATGTCTGCTTAGGTCCCCGAGGACTACCCCTCCCCTCTCTGTCCCATTTTCCATGCTTGGGCAGCTTGCCTCTCATTCCAGGCCTTTGTCTGGCTTCCTCCTCAGGTGTTTGTGTGAAAAACATTCCCACCCTCTGTTCTGACTCTTTGGGGAGTGATGTTTTCACCCTGTACCTGCCCAGCACCCCTCCCCATCAGTTAACCCTCTCATCTCTCATACCCCCTCGTCAGCCCTCTTGTGGAACCCCACACACCCCCGCGAATACAATACACACCCCCTTTGCTTCTGTGGTCCCCTGCACCTGCTAGCTGCTCACCTAGCAGAAGGCAGCACTGGGGCCCTGAAGAAGGCTTTTGAGCCTGTTTCTAGGAGGGCCAAGCCTAGCTCCCCGCCCCTGGAGAACACACTCCCCTCCATCTGTCCCCTGATCCGCGGCGCACATGCCCCTCCTCGTCTGGCTCCTTCTAACACACACTTTCTCTTTCTGCACACCCCCCTCCCAACAGACAACCAGCCCGGGCCTAGTCTCCCGTAAAATATACAACTTTCTCTTATGGTGGCCTACAGAATGGAAGCCTCTGTATTCATAGACCTATCCCCAATGGCAGACACAAAGCCCCCTCCCCATCTAAATCCCGACCCCCCTTCCCAGCTATCCTCCCCACCCCAGGTGTCAAGCAGGCCTTCAGTTCTCCCCCAAGCAAGGCGCCTCCCCTTTCTGGCCTTAAAGAACGTGGGTGTACTGAGCCAGGGCCCCCAACAACATAGCTCACTCTCCACCTCCCGCCCCCCAGAACACACCTCCCCGGAGCATCC